ATTTTTTAATTTTTAGTAGATACGGGGTTTCACAATATTGGTCAGGTTGGTCTCAAACTCCTGGCATCGTGATCTACCCACCTTGGCCTCCCAAAAAGGGACTAATCAAATTCTGCTGTAGAGATTTAGAAATCACGAAGATGCGTTCTGCTTCTGAGCAAAAGAAAGGCACTGCGAGAGAACAATCTAGAAGTTACTGCCATGTGACCATGGCCAGCCTGGGTCTCTAAGTGTCCTGTGCGGCTCTGACAGGGCAAAATCTTCCTTCTTCCAGTTAAAACAAGTGCCTGTTCTACAATGTTTTGCTTTACAGCTGCATTTTTATCACTCCAACTTCTTCCACCCTCCTTCTTTCCCTCCCTTTTGTGAGAGGAGAGTGGTTGGGCCTGGGGCGGTTCGTGGGGCGCGAGGGCAGGCCTCTTCCCGGGCGCGGGAGGCGCGTGGCTGCGGGAACTACCTGCTGCCGAGCCGCTAGGAGCCACGCAGCCCAGCAAGGCCGGGCCCGCGTCTACAGAGCTACCAGCGCGGATCGAAAACACTGCACCTGCACGCCCCGCTCCTCAGCCTTTTGCTGCTCGGCTCTTCTTTCTGCGAACACAACACGGCAACTGCTGGCTGGGAGGCCCGTCCCGAGGCAGGCGTGGACCCAGTGGTCCGGCCCGCCCGGGCGCCGCGGGCCCCTCGGCAGTGGCGGAGGCACTCGCGGCCCGACCTCTGTCCGGGGTTGTCCTCCCGGCCGGCCGCCCGTTCTGCCCGGCCCGGCCCGGGCGCGCCTCAGCCTCGGTCCCACTCACTCTCCCGCAGGCGGCGCTTGAACGCGGGATCCCCGCGCCGCTTCCGGTCGAGGTAAACACAGTAGCCCAGGAAGGCGACGGTGCCACAAGCCGCCGCGGCCGCCAAGAGGCCGAGGAGGGAGCGGACACAGGGCATCCGGCCGCGGGCGTCCCCCGAGCCGTGCGTTGGGCGCAGGCCAGCCGACAGGGGGCGTGGTCGCGGCGGCCCTTCCGCCCTCGGGGCCTCCTGCGCGCCCAGTGGCGCGTTGACGCCTGGTACCCAGGCTAGCGGACCGGTGAGGACGCCGAGCGATCGGGAGGATGTGTGCGGGAACCCTCACAGCCACCGAGAACCAAGCAGAGCTCTGTTGGAACCTAGGTCTGTCGCACTCCAAATTCTGAACCCTTTCTCCAAACACGCCTCTGCCCCGGTGTTTACAACACCCATTCAGGCAAAGCACGGTAGGCTGCGAATCCTCTTTGCTGAGAGCCGGTGGCCATTTAGGCCTCTGTTCCCTCACCTGCAATATTAAGTTGACTCTAAGGTCAATTTTGGCTATCTGCTAGTTCACGTTAGCACTAGCCCATACTTCCTAACCTGGTATCCTTTGTCGCCTGAAAGGACCCAGCAGTCCAAGGTCCAAGGGAGAAATTCAGAAGCAACACTGTTTAGTCTAGAAAAATACGTTAAATTGTACGGACACGGTGGCTCACGCCTGTAATCCCAGCACTTTGGAGGGCCGAGGCAGGTGGATCACCTGAGGTCAGGAGTTCAAGACCAGCCTGACCAACATGCTGAAACCCCGTCTCTACTAAACATACAAAATTAGCTGGGTATGGTGGCACATGCCTGTAATTCCAGCTACTTGGGAGGCTGAGGCAGGAGAATGGCTTGAAGCAAGGAGGCAGAGGTTGCAGTGAGCCAAGATCACGTCATTGCACTCCAGCCTGGGCAACAAGAGCGAAACGCTGACAAAAAAAA